TTTTACCTAAAAACCGACGCCGTAGGCTAATTATTTTTTATTTTTTAAAAATAATAAATATGTACGGCTTCGGTGTTTACCTAAAAACCGACGTCGTATGTAAATTATTTAAAATATATATATATATATATATATATATATATATATATATATATATATATATATATATATATATATATATATATATATATATATATATATATATATATATATATATATATATATACGGCTTCGGCTTTTAGGTAAAAGCCGAAGCCGTATGTTACATACGACGTCGGTTGTTCAACCGACGTCGTATCATTTACTTACGACGTCGAAAGATAACCGACGTTAAATGGGGTATTTTAACCGACGTTAAAACCGTTTTCTGTAGTAGTGTAAATCCCAAACAGAGCATAAACGAAACATAATAGTCCGGGTGCTATGCCACATCTAAGCTGGAGAACTTAGATTCACAGGCTAAACTAACTAATCTAAATATAAATCCATAAATCCATAACTGCGTACAAATCAGGGCTCGCAGGCCGTCTAATTAAATCTAAGGCTATTCCGACTAGATCCGGAAATCCAACTAGCGCACTCCAAGCTATTAATATGTACCTGAAAAACATGCGGTGTAACAACCGTCAGCGAATAATGCTGGTAACCCACTCTAACGCGTTAAGTCTAATATAGGTAGATATAAGAAAATCATTTTGAAACTAAAATACATATATAACCTACGAGACTCTAATTTAAATCCAAGATCAAGACTCAGGACACGATAATAGACTCGACAATATAATCATAAAGACTAGCATGCGTCCTAAGAATACGAAACAAGACATAATAGACAAATAAGCTCATAAATAGAAAATAGAGACAACAATGGCATTCAAAGTCAATCAATTAACAGGTAATCATCAAGGCACACAAATCATCTTCCAACCTTATACCAAGTTCCAACCTTGTGGCTCCCCTCCGTCCTTATATCAGTTCCAACCTATACCTCCAGGCGACCCTTATATCGCCTCCCTTATTCCTCCGGGCAACTACATGCCCCCACCCACAAACCACCTATCAACCACCAACATATCAAGATAGCGCCGCAGTGCCATCCGCATGATCCGTACCTCTAGTACCAATACCAAGGGGTCAGTGCATATAGCCCCGACATGGCACCGCAGCACTTAAAACCTGACCCATGCTCAACGGCAAGCTAGTCGAAGGTGGGTTTGTGATTTTAGCACAGTAACCGCTAGGCCTGTACCTTTAGTACAATGACCGGGCATTCACTGTGTCAACCGCTAACAATTCATTTCCACCAATCACAATCTCAACATCATCATCATCTGTCACACCCGCTATTGCGCAATGACCACGATACTCATCATCATTCAGCCAATCAACACACACACAATCAACAACAATCAAGACATAACAACAATGACACGTACTACACATAAATTCCTAGAATGATACTCAAAACATCAAACGAGACTCATACACGTCAAACGGGGTACAACGGGACACGGAGAAACAACAAACAGGGAAAAACACCACGACGCACCACCAATTTCAAGCGGGTGGAGGACCACCCGCCGGCGGCGGCTCACCAATCCAGCGGGTACCCGGCGGGCAGTCGTCTGCCCGCTGGAGAGAGGGCAGTTGAGCAGCGGGTAAGTGGCGGGTACTCGTGCCCCCACCTACACCCCACTGATACGCAGTAAAGTTTTCGGTCCTGGGATCTCTCGTGGAACCCGAAACCATGTCCAGACACATTCCAACACATAACGACAACACCACAGATTCAATTAACGAAATTAAACCAAGAATCATTCCAAATACATTCTAACACGATTCCTAAACATGCCAAGACTCAACATTAATCATATAATGGTTCAGGAGCATCCGGAACCACAAGAATATCAAGAAATCTATATACAAAGCCATAAAGACAAATCCTATGCTAGACTCAACCCTCGATCATGCATAAACCCTCCCAAACATACCAAGAACATCACAATACGAAATACACGATATAAACCCTAGGGACAAGCTCTATACATAATTAAATACAATATCACACATATAATCAATCACAATATCAAGAACATCAAGATTATCAAATAAACACAACATAAACCCTAGGCAAAGCTCTATCAAGACTCAATCACAGAATCATACATACGATTCTCAAAGGAGCCAATAAATAAGATATAGCAAGGAAAATAGGTTTTGTAATACATGGGTTACCTCTTAGCCCTTAGTCACTATCCTTGGCTACTAAGGTTCTTCTCTAAGATTTCCCTCCAATGGATTCCTCTAAGTTTGGTGGCGGGGAATTCCCTTGCTAGGTTTCCACGGGGAATATCTCGGCGGGTAGGATTAATTGTGGCAGGGTTTCTAAATGCTTTCTAATTCCCTATATATAGATTTAGGAGTCCTAACTAGAATATGTATAGTAAAGGCCCATTTTTCCTATTCCTTATAGAATTAAAGACTTGGTTAAGGATGAGGGTCCATGATCCATTGTGGACCATACTAATTAATTAATGGGAGTTCTAGTCTAATTAAATCCTTTTTAATTATATGTTAACAGAATTAGTTTCATAATTAGTCCGGACACGGAGGCCGTAACACGGGGTGTTACACTTTGGCCTGGCGGAGTTTGGTGACGGGGCTTGCGAAGCCCCGCCGCTTGGTTTCGCTAAGCAACGGCCCTGGGCAACGGATCCCTCAGGGCCGCTCCCTTGGTCCATGGCCTCACGGGTCTAGCTAGCGGACCTTGCCTAGGTCCGTTGGGTTTACTGGTGCACCATCTGTGTGCACCAGACCCAAACTTCTTCACCTGTAGGCAACTCAGATCACAACAAACACTTCCAAACCTCAATAAATCAATCATAGATCATCAACAACACACAAATAGCTCATCAACAAACATTATCTAGCATTTCTAAGCATCTATTTCACATTTCTAGCATTTAACAGAACCAAAAACTAGTTTGGGAGTCCATGGTTTATACCTTGAGCTTCTGCTTCTTCTTGTGTGGATCCCCCTTTCCTCTCTACTCAACTACTACCTCCTTCACCACCTAATCTCCCCAAACAAACAACACAACCAAAGCTTAAGGAGAGAATCTCAGAGATTGAAGGCAAAAGAAAGGAAATCTTAAGTGAGAAGATGAAATGGATGGATGAGAATATAAGTGAGGAATGCTTACTGTGTTTTCTTCTTCTGTCTACAGAGCTCAGAGAGCGGAGAGGCAAATGAGAGGGATCAGGAGAAAACATGGTGATACTATTCTATTTATATGGGTGCAAAACCCTAGGTAGATTTCAAATGATTGGTTGAGGTTAAAAGGGAAAATTTGCATGCTTCTAAAATATCAGACAAAGGCTTGTAGAAATATCAAGGTTCACCTTGTATCATGGACCAAGGTCTCAAATTGATTTTACACAACTTGGGTTCAAAAATAGATTTTCTAGAAGTATTTTCTAATTAAAACACTTGGTTCAGGTTTCACAAGTTCCTCTCCTGTTTCACTCAGATTGACTTTTTGGGTCAAAACTTGGTACATAAATATACCCAAAACTTAGAATTTTTGAAATAGGATAAATCCTGGTGTTGAATTTATTAAAAAAAAAAAAAAAACTCGGTTAAAAATATTTAATTCATACACCGTTTTTGAAAAATTTTCGGAAGAGTGAAAATAAATATTTTAGAATTTTGTAAAATAGAATTTAGGCAAATTATTTTTGGGTTGTCACGAACTTGAACCAAACACCCCATAAGGGTGTGTTTGGAAACCCGAAAAATGATTTATGGAAATCATTTTCTGGGTTTCTAGTGTTTGGTAAAGAGTAGAAAATGTGAGTCAAAGAAAAATGAGTGTTTGGTCAAATGAAAATACCCTCATTTTCTTAGCAAATGACTTCCCCTCTTTTTTGGAGAAGTCATTTTCCAATTTCCACACCAACACCACATCACCATCACCATCACCAAAACCACCACCACCACTACTACCACCAAACCACCACCACCACTACTACCACCACCACCATCGCAACCACCACCCCTACCACTGTCGTCGTCGCCGCCACTACCATCACCACCGCAACCAGGCCACCTCCACCATACCACCACCACCACCACCAACACCAACACTATCACTACCACCACCACAACAATCACACGACCACTACTACTACCACCACACTACCACCACCACCACCACCACCATACCACTTATTAGTAATAATAATAATAATAATAATAATAATAATAATAATATTATTATTATTATTATTATTATTATTATTATTATTATTATTATTATTATATTATATTCTAAACAAAACAATTAAAATGTTTAATAATAAAATTCTACTCATTTTCTAGAAATTGAACCAAACACACCAAGATAATTTTCTGAAATGCAACCAATCACTAGAAATGAAAATGTTTTCTGGAAAATGACTCATGTTCTAGGAAACATTTTCCAGAGTCATTTTCCAGAAGTCATTTTCCTGGTTTACGAACACACACTAAAATGAAGTCTTATGAACTGTAGTCTGTAGAGCTTTATATGCAAAAGATATATATCTTTGGTAAAGCCCAATTAATTAGCAAATGTACATTATCAACTAAACCATCTCCTCACAATGAGTTTAGTCACAGAAGATGGTTCGGATTTGACCACTTTGATGGATCTTAGCGCTGCACTATGCTTATTCTCAAGTTACGCAACATGTCTATGCCCATTCCATCCGGGACTGGACTCAGCAACTGCCTCGCCATCGATTCGAACCCATGACCATCTATGCTCATCTCATTCGGGACTGGACTTAGCAACTGTCTCGCAATCGATTTGAACCCGTGACCTCGACTCTGATACCAATTAATGGACCTCATTGCATGTTTACTTCCTAGTAAGTCACACGTCGTGTAAGCCAAGCACGCTTAACCACAAAGTTCTTTGGGTATCAGGTTTCCATATCCTTCTCAAAACCAATTGGTGATGAGTATGCGATTATTAACCATTTAACCACATACCTCCATGGTAAGCCACATCACCACGTCTCGAATTGAGCAGGGGTTGAACTCGGTCGACGCCCAAGACGCTTACTACACCAAAAGTTATAGCTCATAGCGAAAGTGATAATACAAGGAATATTATTGCAAATGATTGATGTTTTGTGATGCTTACAAATAAACCCATGATTACAAAACTTGTGCTAAATACCTTTATATAGGTGTTTAAATTTACTAGAAAGTCTGAAACACCCCAGATTTTCAAGGCATTTAAAACCTATAAAATAAAGGCATTATCTCATTAAATCCCAAAACATAGTACAAGAGTACGGGGTGCTATGCCACACCTGAGCTAGAGAACCCAGGTGCACAGGCTAACTAACTAATATCCTCAATAATGTAAATGCTTAATATGGCACGCAGGCCGAAAAGGGAACCATCTACTTCTACATTCCGGGTTCTAGCGCGCTCCAGTGACTTATTCTTCTGTGCCTGAAAGCCAAATATATCTGTTCAGCGAGAGATGCTGGTAACCCACTCCAACACGTTGAAATACAATACATATAGAGATATATATAGATATACGAAAACCATTGTGAGCATGAAGATATATCCTACGAACTCTAGCTTTTAAAACCGGGAATGACTCGACAGATAAGGTCAGACACAAGCAATAGTTATAACGAGCATATGCAGTTCACAATAGATAAGGCAGATAAGGCAAAGCATAAACAATAATCACAACCCATCATAAACAATCCCCAATATAAATCCCATAGTCACATCCCAAGGCACTCATAATCACAACTCGTCCATATCACACACATAACGCACATTGTTGGCGCCACAGGACCGATCGCATGCCCATACATGAGGGTCATCGCATATAGCTCTGACACAGCCCCGCAGCACCATGCCCCGCATCGCAACACGGGGAGGTCGATCGCAACCGACCGATGAACCGCAGCTCATCATAATGTTTGATCGCAACCAAACAGTGGACCGCAGCCCAAGAGAGTGTCATCTGACCGCAGCCAGGATAAAGGACGAACCGCAGCTCGTATAGAAACGTTTGATCGCAACCAAACGGTGGACCGCAGCCCAAGAGAATGTCATCTGACCGCAGCCAGGAATACCAATCTGACCGCAGCCAGCTTCTGAACCGCAGCTCAGGATAACCAATCCGATCGCAACCGAATTGGGGTAGCACACACACATAACACATAGCAAGCACATGCAACCCACGTTACACATTGGGAAGGGGAATAAAGCGTATAACAAACCTATGCGTGATCCATCACATACTAAGAATAGTCCTAAGGGGGTTCATACTTCCTTCACCTAGGTCAACGGGATACCAATTCATCTAGCATGCGATATAACAGACTCATAAACCTACGAACGGTACCCGAAACATCAAACTAGACATAGGCACGACAAACGGGGTCCGTTGGGACACCACGGGGATCGGGGAAACATCAAACGGGGAAGTCGGGGTCCCGAGGTGGGAGAAATTCCAGCGGGTAGCCGGTGGGTGGGGGTCCACCCGTCGGCTGACACTGTTCCGGGCAGCGGGTGCCCGGCGGGCAACTGCCCGCCCGCCGGCTGCCGGCTGCCGGAGCTGCCCGAATTGCCGCGGGTAGGTGGTGGGTCCCCTACCCCCCACTGACTCTTTTCATCACTTTTTGCCCCGGGAACCGTTGTGGAACCCGAAACCATGCTTAGACACTTTTCAACGTAATTAACGACAACACATAGACAATTAACGGATCAATTACGATAGACGAACGGCACATAACCTAACATGCTTTTCTAATCATAATCAACACCCAAACATGCGATTTCCCACCTGATAATCCAAGAATAAGATCATACGATACAACCTAGGGTTCTAATCACTTTTATATCCACAAGAATACGATTCGTCTTCTAATTGCAAGATTCGGTAGGAACAACACATATCATCAAGGATAGCAATTAATCATCAAGAAAAACATAATCATCAAGAACAGCACATCATCATCAAGAATCCCAATCAATCATCAAGAACATCCCAATTATCAAGAAGCTCCCAATATCAAGATTACCAAGATTCCCCATGGAATCATTAAATCAACATCAATAATAATCATAGTAATTCGCCATTCACAATCATACGGGGGAAACCCTAAGGGGAAATCATAGCTATGAAAATAGGTTTTGTTGAGACATGGGTTACCTCTTAGCCTTAATTAATTCCTTGGCTATGAAGGATCTTTCTTTAAGCTTTCTTGCTTTCTTGATTTCTTCTAAGGGAATTCTTGGAGCTCTCCTGGGGTGGTGGGGCGTCTAGGCGTGTGGGGGGGGGGGGGGGGTTCTAGGTGCTCCCTAAGTTCCCTATTTATAGATCCATGGGTTTGTTTAGAGTTTATTCCTATTGGGTTTAGGGGTTGGGTTTATATAATTGGGCCCATGGGCTATGGTGGCCTTTTTCCCTAATTAATCATTATAATTTATTCTTTCTCCAGGGTTATTAATTAATTAATTAATCAGTTGGTTTTAGGATTCGTAACACGGGGTGTTACACTCTCCCCCCCTTCACAGGAAGATTCGTCCCCGAAGCTTGGCCCTGGGTGACAAAAAAAGAAAGTTTTCCCTTAGTTACCTGGGGTGAACAGCTCGGGGTACCGCTCCTTCATTGTGTCCTTAAGTTCCCATGTGGCTTCCTCGGTCCCGTGGTTGGTCCAGAGAACCTTCACCATTTCCATGACTCGGTTCCGGGTATTTCTTGTTTTGGTGTCCAGGATTCTTACGGGTTTCTCTTCGTATACTAGTGACTCGTCGAGGTCCACGGTCTCGTGTTGGAGTACGTGGCTTGGATCGTGTATGTATTTCTTTAGCTGGGATACGTGGAACACGTTGTGTACTCGTTCTAGCTCGACGGGTAGGGCGAGACGGTAGGCCAAGTCTCCGATTCTCTCCACGATTTCGTAAGGGCCGATGAACCGGGGGCTGAGTTTTCCTTTTCTCCAGAACCTCATTACCCCTCGTGTGGGCAAGATCCTTAGCCAGGCCTTGTCCCCGAGGCTGAATTCGGCTTGCTCCCTCTTTAGGTCGGCGTAAGACTTCTGGCGGTCTTGGGCGGCCTTCATCCTTTCCTGGATGTGTTTGACCTTAGCTATGGTGTCTTGTAGGTATTAGGGGCCCAGTGTTACCGGGTTGACCATATCTTCCCAGCATAATGGGGTTCTACATTTCTGACCATACAGTGCTTCGTATGGTGCCATGCGAATGCTCGCGTGGTAGCTGTTGTTGTACGAGAACTCGATGAGGTCTAGGTGTTCTTCCCACGTCCCTCGGAAGTCGAGCGTGCAGGCTCTTAGCATGTCTTCGAGGGTTTGGATGGTTCTTTCGGTTTGGCCGTCTGTGGTGGGGTGAAAGGCTGTGCTTAGCTTTAGTTGCGTTCCCAATGCCGCTTGTAGTGATTTCCAGAATTGCAGGAGGAACCTGGAATCTCGGTCGGACACAATGTTCCGGGGAACTCCGTGGTATTTCACTACCCGGTTTACGTAAGCTTGGGTTAGTTACGTCATCATCCATGTTTCTTTCATGGCAATGAATCGCGCTGTCTTGGTGAGTCGATCCACTATGACCCAGATTTTATCCTTACCGGTTTTCGTTGGGGGTAGCCCTCCGACGAAGTCCATGGATATGGAATCCCATTTTCCTTGTGGTATTTCAAGGGGTTGCACGAGTCCCTTGGGTTTACATCGTTCGGCTTTTACCCTTTGGCAATTCAGACACTTGGCCACAAAGTCTGCGATTTCCTTTTTCATATTCGGCCACCAAAATGATTTCTTTACGTCTTGGTATAATTTGTCACCGCCTGGGTGGACGGAGTAAGGGGAGTTGTGTCCTTCCTCTAAGATCCGCTGTTTCAAGTGGGGGTGCGTAGAGGGTACACACCACCTCCCTTTGTAGCGGAGGTTGCCGTCTGGGTGTGCTTCGAAAGGGCCCTCTTTCCCTCGAGTCAGGTCGCGGCGGATTTTATCTAGTTCCGGGTCCTGTTGTTGTCCCGATTTGATTTCCTCGAAGAGGGTGGGCACGGCCTGTGTGTTGAGTAGATAGGCATTGGGGCGAGTTTGTCCCTGCTCTATTATTTCCAAGTGTAGCCTTTGGAAGTCCCTGTACAGATGGTCTGGTAGGACCCACGTGGTGTTAAGGGAATGATTTGTCTTTCGGCTTAGGGCATCCGCCACCACGTTGGCTTTTCCCTCGTGGTATTGAATATCTAGGTCGTAGTCCTTTATGAGTTCCAGCCATCTTCGTTGTCTCATGTTTAGGTCCTTTTGAGTAAAGATGTACTTCAGGCTCTTATGGTCGGTGTAGATCTTGCATTGTACTCCATACAGGTAGTGCCTCCAGATTTTCAGTGCGAATACGATAGCGGCTAGCTCGAGGTCATGGGTGGGGTAATTCTCTTCGTGGGTTTTGAGTTGCCTGGATGCGTAAGCTATTACCTTGCCATTTTGCATTAGTACGCATCCTAACCCCTTCTTGGATGCGTCGCTGTAGACTTCAAACCCTTCCGATCCGGAGGGTATGGCTAGCACGGGTGCAGTGGTTAGTTTATCCTTTAATGCTTGGAAGGCCGAGATGCAGCCGTCGTCCCAACGGAAGGGGGTTTCCTTTTTCATGAGCTTAATGAGGGGTTGGGCTATCTTGGTGACGTCGGGTACGAACCTCCTGTAGTAGCCCGCTAGACCTAAGAAGCTTCGGACTTCCGAGAGTGAGTTCGGCGTGGTCCATTCCTTAACGGCGCGAACCTTAGCGGGGTCCACCCTAATCCCTTCCTTGGTTATCACGTGGCCCAAGAAGGCTACGCTGTCTTGCCAGAATTCGCACTTGGAGAATTTAGCGTAGAGTTGGTTCTCCCTGAGGGTTTGCAGAGATATGCAAAGGTGCGTCTCATGTTCTTCTTTATTTCGGGAGTAGACTAGGATGTCGTCAATGAACACGATGACGAAGTCATCCAGGTGAGGTCGGAATACTCGATTCATGAGGTCCATGAATATGGCAGGCGCGTTAGT